TGGGGGGGGGGGGGTAAACAAGATGAAAGTATGCAAGAACATGCACAGGGGTCAACACTTTGCCGTTAATCCTGAAGACAACTCATGAGACTATTATCCAAGCCCCCACTATGGTGGTTATTAGTTTATTCCTATAAATATTGTGTGCTTTCTTTTGGAATAAAATTATATTTATGAAATTTCAATTTTTTAGGTCAAATTGTTCAAAAAATTAAATTATGAAGTTATTTAAAAAGATTAAATGAAGAAAAGTTATTCATGAAAAAAAAAATTATACTTAAACCATTCTTAAACAATTTAATATAGTTGCGGACTTAAAATTTAAGTCTGGAAGGTTGGGAGAAACAATGGTATGAGCCTAGGCAAAACCCAAATAGTTACTTTTTTTAGGGGAGAAATTTAGGTTTTTGACCAAATGGATTGGAGAAGGCCTAAAGTCATCTCCAACCCATGATGCCAAACCCAAATAATCACAGATTATAGCTCAATTACTCTCCCAACCCAAAAAAAAGTAAGGGGCCAAACTTTGGGAAAACTCAAACTTAGGGTCAAATACGAGTCCAGCCATTGACTGGACTGGAAAACTTTTTGGTGGAGCCCATTCAAGGCTTACGCATCCCATGTGCAAGGAGGAATCAATGGGCGCCATGTGTCGCGTTGTTGTAGAGCCTATTTTTTATTTTTATTTTTCATTCCAACAATAACCCAAATCCAACTATCCACATTAAATACAAACTATTTTAATAGTAAAAAAAAATCCAACGACTGAAATTTAAATCCAACAATCAAAATAATATTTTAAATTAATCTAAATCAAATCCAACCCCAAAACTCACTCCAAGCTCTATAAATACCCACCCATTTCTCAAATAATATTATATTTGTGGAATTTCAATTTTTTTAGGTCAAATTGTTCAAAAATTTAAATTATGAAGTTATTTAAAAAGATAAAATGAAGAAAAGTTATCCATGAAAAAAAAAAAATAGACTTATACCATTCTTAAACAATTTAATAAAGTTGAAGACTTAAAATTTGAGTCTGAAAGATTGGGGAAAAAAGGTTTGAGTCCGAGCAAAAACCAAATAGTTACTTTTTGGAGGGGGGAAATTTGGGTTTAGGACCAAATGGATTGGAAAAGGCCTAAGGGCATGTTTACTAAATTCCCATAAATTGAAATTGAAATCCATTTGATTACAAAATGCCCTTGTTCTAAATTCCCATAAATTATTTTGCTAGAATCCAAGTTAAACCAAATGGAAAATTTGGAGTTTTAAAAAAATGTGTGAGGATATAATGGCTAAAAAATATGAATTTCTAATGGATTAGTTCTTTAAGAATTAGAATACCACATCCCACCCGGATCCCAAACCTCTGCATTTAGAGACAGTGCATTTACCGGCATTTCTCTAAATCTAGGTCATTGCAATAATCTAACAACTTAAAATATG